TACAAATCAAAAGTTGACTGCTCATCCTGAGTGCACTATTCTTCTCAGACACGGGTGTCGACACCGACCCGTCGACCCGTCGACCGACCAGATCAACCGTTGATGATGATCGTCTCCGTCCAAGCGGACAGCAACGCGCACCTCTTCCTGGGGACGCCACGCGAGTGCGCCGCGTGGTCTCGGCCGACGGACGTCGGGTTCGGCGTCGGGAACTTGGAGCTGAGATGGGACCGTCAGGTGACGGAAAAAATCTTCGGGGGTTGATACCAGGGTGGTATTTGAACGGGTTCGACATGGGCTTGGAAACCGAACCAGAAACAAATGAATGTTTCCCCAAACAGCCACTGTACAGGATCTCAATTGCCAGAACAGCCGTTTGTTATCGTTTGTTTCTGGTTGGGACTGGGTTTCTACAACAAGTGGTGTGACACGCCCCTGTTGCTGGCCATTTCAAAAAGGTCAACTCTAGCTTTCTAGCTGCAAGTCGTTTCCTTTTGGAGCAATTAAAGTTTGTAGTGCATGATAGAAAATAAGCAGATAGCGTCTTTGAATCGCTTGTGCGCCAGGGCTGGCTTCGAGATTGTCTTGGGTGGCTGGAACAACGGACTCTCAGCATCTTGCTTCGCATGTTTTGTTCCGCTCGAGTGGTTTGGCTTCCCAAACACAAAGATACACAAAGCCAATCTGCAGAAAGAAAAGAAAAAGAGACTTTAAACATGGCCTTGTTGATTTGATGTTCATCATCAGCTAGAAGTTTAGTTATCGGTCATTGGCGTTTGGGTTGCTCGTGTTCAAACTGAGTAACCACAGATGGCCAGTGCAATCAAAACGGAAAGTCCGCTGTTCTCGGCACAGGAACAGGTGCCTTACTAGTAGTAACAAGAAGCTACTAGGAACAAGTGCATCGCTACTAGTAACAAGTGCCTTACTAGTAGTAACAAGAAGCTATTAATTTATGTTAAGTTTAGTTTGATTCTAATAGCTGTTTGTTACTACTAGTAAGGCACTTGTTACTACTAGCGTGGCACTTGTTACTAGTAGTAACAAGAAGTGCTTTATCACTTAAGATTCACCAGCATGGTCGTGCTTTTTGCACCACTGGGTGCGGTATGCCATGCTCGGTGCGGGATGCCTTCCTTCTCAGGTCCTGCGGACGTATCCCACGACACAGCAGCTGGGCAACTACTACGGGACGGTGCCAAAGATGCAGAGAACGAGCGTTCGGAACGTTGGGCGGTCTTCAGTCTTTGCTCCGGACCGAACGCTCGTGTATTTTGGTTGCGTGGCGATCTGGGGGGGAACCACAGGGTGTGGTTTTTGCCTTTTGCAGCTGCTGTTGGTTGACTGGTACCGGCAGGTGCAGCCGTTTGCACACCAAGTGGATTGTGTTGGGTCTACTCCCAGCCATGTTGAGAGAGGGAGATTGAACTTGGTTTCTTCTTAGAAAGAGATGGGAGTTTGTGTGTGTGTGTGTCTGTCTCCCTTTGAAGACAACTTTGTTCAAAGACCTGCTGACTCAGCTGAAGTGAGCCGGCTGCTGCTTGGCTCAAAGCAGCCGAGTTTTGCGAAGCCGATTTTTCTCTCAGCTCGGAGTCTCCGCGAATGTGGCGCTGGGCCCGGCGCTGGGCCCTCCTCTTCGGCGCGCTGGTGCTGCACGCTGAAAGCGCCAGGCCAAAGTGCCTCAGCAAGTTGAAGTTTAATTTGATGAAGGATTGCAAGTGGTCACTCGGCTGAAAAGAGGAGTAAACAAATATTGTTTTAATGAATATTATATGAAATATATAGAGTCATTATATCGATGGAAATGGCAGAGAGACATCGACGATCAGACCGACCTCCCAAGTCTGAACCTGTCAGGACTCCGAATGCCACAGGGGCACCCCAGAGGCCCCCGCTGCAAAAGGGCTATGTGCCTGGATGTTTCCAAGAGTGTTACGAAGACTTTGAGTTCTTCGAGAATGTCCAGGACGTGATTCGAGCAGGTCCACCCAGCGACTCCACCAAGATGTCCTGCGACACCAGCGACCTGGGCCAGAAATGCGTCGTTGAAGTCCTGGAACGGAAGGGGGTGTTGCTTCCATTTTTTGCGGGCGAGGGACAGCACAGAAAAGAGGCAACGGCACAGTTTTAGAACGCCTTCGTGTCTTAGGTGTTGTGTTTTTTTGCCATCTTTCGCTCGAATTTGTTCGTCATCGAGGTGAAAGGACTGGATATCTTTGCAAAGCCTTTGTGATCGACTGCGTGAGAGGCGACAAATCCTTAGGCGCACGGCGGGACTCCGCCCTCCGCGCTCCGCGGGTCGGATGACTGGATCGACTTCATCGGGTCGTCGAAACGGTCTACTGGATGGAGTAGCGCATGACTCGCTCGAACATGACAGAGTGAGCCTTTGTGACAGATTGAGCCCGAGTAGCAACAATCAAGAATGGCAATATAGTCTCGGACGATTTCCCCTGCCGGTTTGACTGGATCAGAGGCGATGGTGACTTCCCCAACTCCTGCAGCTCCGACTCCTTTGGCAAGTCGGACGTGGTGGGCGCCGGCCATGCGCCCGGAGGAGAAACCTGGGTGGCGCTGTATGCCTACAGCAACTGCTGCTGAAGTTCACATGGTGAAAGTGGGGTGATCACGTGACATACAAAGTGATGTCACGGGGCCCATGTGTTGGATGTCTCGCTTAACCTTTGCTTGGCATGTCGACGGATTTCCTTGCTGGATCAGTTTCAATGGAAAACCGAACCAAAATTAAGTATAAAAAAGAACATCGCACAGGTCACTGACCACAACCGAGGCAACTACGTGGGCACCTCTGCCAAGGGCCCCAACTCGAGCCAACGGATCCTGGCCGCGCGCGTGATGTTTCGAGGGATCGAAGGGGACGATGCGGGGGTCTCCTACGACGGCATGTGCGAGGGGACCTTCGAGGCCGATCCCCCGTCGTTTCGTGTTCGGAGGGTGTGCATCGGCGGGTGTGCAGGTGTTCGGGAATGGGAAGCCCGGTGCGGTGTCGTGTTTTTGTGGTGTTTTTCTCCAATGGCGGCACTGGCGTTCCTCGCGAAGTGGGAAAATTGTGGGAGAGAAGAAAGGTTTGCCCATTGGATCATTGCATCTCGTCGATCCCATGTGAGTTCCTTATCAGTAAAACAACCATCCCGGACATCCCTCCACACTGATAAGAGCAGACGATCGAAAGATCCCCCAAAATCTCAACCTCAGTCTGGTCTCTCTCTCTCTCTCTCTCTCCTTCTCCTCCCTTCAGGTTCAACCAGGCTCCCCCTGCTTCGGCGTGGACGCCGGCGACGGCGCCTTGCACGTGAACGAGCTGCCCGTGGCGCCGCTGCCGCCGCCGCGCGTCGACGGCACGCCGTGGCCGCTGCCGGAGCACGTCCCGACGCCCACGCCGGCGCCGGAGACCACGGCGCCGGAGACGACGGCGAGTCCGGAGACGAAGACGACAGCGCCCACGGAGAAGCCCACGGATGCTTGGGGGAACTTTGGAACAGTTTTGTTTTTTGGAGGGGTCATCCTATGTATGAGTGGATTGGGTCCGATTGGGTTCTTTACTCCAAAATCACCCAACTACCATCTCATCTCATCTCATCCACGTTGGATTTCTAAGGAGAAGCCGGATGGCAAGAACGACACCAAACCCGACAACTCCTCTTCCTCCGTGGTCACCGTCTTCCTGTGGATCGCCGCCCTCTCCGTCCTCGCGGCCATGGCCTTCGCGGCCTTCTACGTGCACCGGAGCCGCCGCGTCGCCGAAGAGCGGCGCCTGCGGGAGACCGCGGAGTCCTAGGAGACCGTAGCAAGACGCGACGGCGAAGGAATACGGACGTAGCAAGACGCAAGACGCGGCGTCTGGGCGTGGGAAGGGCGTGGGTGCCCTGGGTGCCCTTCTCGGCGTGAAGACCAACAAAGGAGTAGCAAAAAGCACAGAAGGGGGGGAAGATTGGGGAAGGGGGTCTCATGTGTGTGTTGTTTTCTTTAGGACCTAGTTTTTGGTGTTTATCGTCATCGCCCTGCAGGTTGATTCGGTACTGATCCAGAGCAGGCAAACTTGTTTTTCATGATCGGGATATGCAACTTTGGAGTTGGTTGCACAGCGTTTTATCCAGATACGATGTGTTTAACTTTCAGGGTCCACCTTCTGCATTCGAACGAATGTGTCAATTCGTGCACACGTGAAGGAGAAACGTCTTGAAAAGGGTGAAGTCGAAGTGGCAGTCCCTTCAACACAGATCACCTGTCCTCCTTTGACACCCCGAAATGAACCCTCCGTGCGGGCATGAAACCAACGCCCTCCAGAGCCACCGGCGCAGAGCCTGCAGAGGAAATCCGCAGACTCACTCTGGGAAAACTCATCCACCAGCCTGAAGCCACCGCCAATCGCAGGTGCTGAATTCATCCAACTACAGCAGTTTCTGGATCTACTTCGCCTTTGACGGCAACCTCTCAGTGGGTCTGGGCCAGGAGCGCGGAGGGGTCTCCGGGTCTTTGCGCTCCTTCCGAGCTGTGCAGTTTGGGATCCGCTATTGAGTTATGTGTATTACATCTTCTCTCGCGCCTACTCTCAACATGTGTTTCATATACAAGCATTATATTAGCATCAATAGCATCAATATCACATCCAAAGGCAATAATAGGTGTATTCGTCGACCTGTTCCATAACCTCATTATATTAGCGGTGTTTTCAATGCTTTCATATATCCAAGTTTTCGCTTCACCACCCGCCGGTAGAACAATTTGAGGAAATCTTATACCGCCACCGGTAGTAAATCTCATAAACTCCACTCCGTTTCTTCTAAAATACATATCACTATCGTCATAACTGTCATAGGTATTACTTTTAACAACGGCATAGTTTTTAAGTGCTACAATATCTTGTCTAAAAAGAACATTTGTCCTTGTTATATCCATTATCTCAATATCTTCAAAAGTTCCACTGCCTACAACAAACCCAACATAATCATGCACAAATTGCTAATCTTTTGTTAGCAACGTCGTTCTCTTCTCTCACATAACAAATATCACCAAAAATTAATGTTGTTGTAAAAGTTGACATGTTGATTTCACCAGTAGAAGTAATATTACCGTCTAAAAGACTATCACCATTGACCGTTAGTGAGTTCATACCACCCGAAAATGAAATGCCCGAAGAAATATCTAAAACTAAAATCAAATGGTCGTGTCTCATAAATTCAGTTTGGGTTGTTCCATTGGGTGCTCTACCATAAAAGACTAAATCGCTGTCGTTTGCCCTCGGTCTGATGTTTGTAGTATATAAAGCATTTGTTGATACTCCTATTGATGGTGCTACATTTACAATCTGATTAGCACCATCCAGTGTAAAATACTCAACTGTGTTTCTTCTGAATGGAACATCAATATCACTGATGCCATCATACCAATTACACGTTAGTTTTGTATTTATCGCTATTTGTCCTTTTGTCATTGTAAAGTTGTTAGTATCAACACCATCAGAACAGGTCAGTATCAAATAGGGTTCTGTCTCATCTAAGTGTCTAATCCTCAATACATTGAAACTTCCTTCAACTCCTTCTGACATTACACAGTTGTCTCTACCTCCATATATTCCTATTGGTTTGTTTGCTACAAGTCTTTCAGGTGTTGTTTGAAAATACATGTACTCGCTTCCGTTTCTTAAGAATGAAAGATTAGTATTGTTTAATGTATCAATGGTGTCTGTTTTGAAACCATTTTCAACTTGTAGTTCTGTCTTCATTTCTAAGGTTGAATTGGTGAAGTCATACCTCATATATTCAGTTCCACCGTGAAAATAACGAGTATCTAATGCTAAGTCTTCAGCATAATGTTGATTTGTATTAACAGCATTGGCGGTTATTCCTAATGTATCCATAGTTGTTGCCCATAAATTGGATTGAATGGTACTCCATTTGGAAAATAAGGATTTACTAAATCCGCCTTAGCGTTCAACATATTGTCAATCTCTAAATGTGTATAACCCGTCCATTCACTCCCTCCACCGCCTCCACCACCTCCACCTAATCAAGGTATGTCTGTCAGTTTCTTCAGTTGTTTGTCGGCGGGGTCTATCATCCATCTATATATACTTTAGTTAGAAATAAAAATGATATGTTTTCTGTTAGAAAGTTGTGTCGATATCCACTTGACACTTTCGGCTCGTTTAGTTGAAGATAGGTTCGTTGATGACCTGTAACAGGTGTCATCAGTCCCAAGCACGGGACGGTGACACGTGGTGTTTAGCGTGCTCCTCGTGGGAGACCCTAGGACAGGAGCTGACAAGCAGGTGGTCGTGCTCCTCGTCGCGCCGCTTGGCCGACGATTTGGTCCTCTCGGTCACCCGCCAGGTCCGCTATCTGAGGAACCTCAGCGCTGGCATTCGAGCGAACGCGGAAGCTGCAGCAAGCCGCTCGGATCGCCCTGTGGCTGCTGGGAAGCGAGCCAGGGAGGAGCACGACGAGAAGCCGGTTCTGCAGAGGAGAAGGAAGCAAATCAGCAGCGGCCCTTGGAGCTTCAGGCAAAGAGGAGGAGCGACAGGGTAGACAAGGAGGTGCTCTCGGATACTGACGAGAAGTTCGAGGAGGATTCCGAGGAGGAAGAAGTAGTTGAGACCACTCACAAGCCCCTGCCAGGCTCGAACGACAGGAAGCCGCCGGAGCCAAAAGGCCCACCTCCATCTCGGAAGCCACCGGTTGCAAATTCATCGTACGGACGTGACAAGCAGAGGACGTCAGGTGGCGACAATCGACAGCATCGTGGAGATCGCGGTTCTCATCGTCAGAAGGCCAAGCACAGAGCAGGCAGGAAACACCAGAGGATCGGAAGGCTGGAACACGACCCGGAACTTCCCATCCATCGCAAGTTGAGTGGAGCATTGTTGGACAATCTGGCATCGGAGCTGGAGCGGGATTTCCGTGACCTCCATCAATGACTCACCGTGTTCATCGCGAGGGTGAAGTCTTCACCCAATCAGATTTTGTACAATGGGTGACATTGGCACCAATGAGAGGAGATGTGCTGGTAGTAGACCTGGGCACATCCTCATACCAAAGCGCACCTCAGACCCTTGGCTACTTCCTTGTCCTCGAGGTTCAGCTTATCCCAGGAACGGGGACGCTTGCCCAATCCCAGTCTCAAGAAGGACCTGTCACAGAAAGCAAGGCTGGTTGCACTTTTGCAGTGCGGAGCATGCAGGGGACATCCATGTTTCCGACGTTGTATGGCATTCTCTGGCTGGTGCGGAGGACCAACTGACATCAACCGCCGTTCGGTCCGCCAGAAAGTGGCTTTCAGAGGCAGAGGAACCCTATTGGGCAGAGGACACAGAGGCAACACCTCCAGACGCTGGCATGAGCCCGGGCCCTGGGGGAGAGGAGGAGACGTCAAGGCCTTCGGCATTGAGGAGGCCTGTGGAGGCAGAAGGTGCAGAGGCTGGGAGCTTGGGAGACACCGCCAAGCCCAAGGAGCGGGCAGTCAAAGCTCGCCCGCCAAGAAGGTCAACAGAGAAAGAAAAGGAGGATGGGCCACCACGGAAGCCGGCCAAGCGGTCCAGGGCTGGAGATGGAGTTGCAACGGCTGCGAAAGAAGCCAAAGGCAAAGGAGTTGGCAATCTCAGTCGCCCGACTTCATCCCTTCCGCCGGAGAAGGTTCAGAAGCTTCGCGACGAGCTAGAGAGATCGAAGGCCAAACTGGCTGGAGGAGGACCGCCAGATCCACCGCCCGAAGGGGACTCTCCGGATGGGAGGACAAATCCGGGTCGGGCTCGGGCGACTATACTGGATCAGGCAGCTCAGGCTCTGCGGAGGAGGCAGGCATAGGAGCTGGGACTCTTCTGAGTCAGGATCGAAGGCTTTAAGCGGAGGTACTTCCGAAGGGTTTCACGAGCAACTCATCCGACGGGCAACAGGCAGTGCACCACGACCTTCGAGCAGGACAACAGACCGGCACAAGGACACCGAGAAGAAGAAGGACAGGGAGAAAGATCGCAGGCGAGGACGTTCCGGGGGCCGCAAGTCGGACAAGGACGGCGGCAAGAAGGACAAGAAGAAGAAAAGGAAGAAGAAGAGCAAGCGGCATGCCAAGAGGAAGAAGAAGGAGAGAAAGAGGAAGCGGAGGAAGGTGACCCTTTCGGATGGGAGGATCATCAGTTGTTCCAGAAGCTCCAGCGACAGCTCCAGGACACCGACTTCAACAGAGGACGAACGGGCAAGACCTCCCTTCACTTCAGGCAAAGGTGCATTGTCCCACGGAGCAGGTGCTGCCACTTTGTAAGGAATTGGTCAAGCGGAATATTTGCTCTTGGACCAAACCTGAGGATGTGTTTCATTACAGGAATCAACCGGTGCTCTCTGGACTCTTTGGGGTTGAGAAACCCACTGTGCTCCCTGACGGTCGAAAGGTCCTTCGCTTGATTATGAATCTGGTCCCCGCTAATGCTACCATGGATTCGATTGACGGAGCCGTGAGGCATCTGCCCTCCATAACGGCGTGGCTCGGCCTTAGACGACACTTTGGACTCTGAGTGGGCGGATCCTGCGGAGGAAGATCGTCCAGATCGTCATTGGTAGGTGGGCTCATGTGTTGCAATTCAGAAGGCCGGGGATGATTGTTTTGGAACATGTTTGGGACTTCATTTCTGGGAAAGCCACAGGACCACGGGTTATCGCAGGTGTCAGGCGAGAGCTTTGGACCTTAGTGCTTATTTCCCCTTTCCTGCATTGCAATTTGGGAGCCACGATTGATGCCTGCACCACGCGTCAGATGCCTCCACAAAGGGCGGAGCGGTAGGCATCTCTCATAGTTTGACTCAAGCTGGAATGGACTTTGTCATGGCTTCAAAGATCAGGAGTATTGAAATCAACCCGCATCCCATTTTGGTTGTATCCCTTTTCAACGGAATAGGAGGTTGCTTTAGGGTCTACGATGTCCTCAAT